GAATTACGTGGGCTGCTAAGAGATGAGCCCCATTCCACCCCGATTACACACACACACACACACACACACACACACACACACAGCCTCAGCCTTGCATCCAACGTCATTCAATTCCCCTGCGTGTTCTAAACCTAGATGATCAGATAATAAGAGGTTGAGTGGTATGCATAACATCAAGTTGATTAAATTTGTTTACTGATAATTCTTTCAGGTTCCCATGAATATCGTGTAATTTCCTTGCTGTATTTCAAACAGATTTGGGCTAATGCATTATTGACAGCACCCTCGCAGACCATCTCCACAATGTCATTCAGGATAATTATTTCACAACAGATTTCCAGGGCCTCTGGTTCCTGTTGGGATTCACTTGGGCATAAATTACAGAGCCGAATATTTAATCAGGGTCCCCATTAGAACCCTGTGGCTTATTTTTAGGAATTGAGGAGGGAGAGCGGGTGGGAGAGAGGATACTTGTATTATTATGGCATGAATACATTTCTTCTGGGCTGGGTGGGTTGTTGTGGTGATGTTTTTTTTCTTTTTTTCCCAAAGCTCAACCAAGCTGAAAAGCAGCCTGAAGCATCCTTGCCTTTTTTAGAAATAAACACATGCATTAATCTTTTGACTGCATTAAATTAAATATTAATGTTAACGGATCACATAATGCGAAGTTAAAAAAACGATTAACATTTACACCACATTCTCTCTTCATGACTTTTCTGTTCCGCAAATCAGTCCCTCTGTTAACTAATAAGACTTAAGAACTGTCACCCTGGAGAGGTAGGACCAGGAGGTAGGAGCTGGGTGATTGTTTGGGGCATTTCTGAAAAAAAATCAAGGCGAAAGGTGTCCACCAGCAGCCACGAACTCAACCTGCCTCCTGCTCAGGTAGTTCAGCCATAAGTCAGGTGTGATGGAGTTGCTTCCTTGCAAGGAATAATCTCAGGGCTAATTAGCAATGCCGAGTCGTGCTGTGCCAGGTCCAGCAGTGTTTGCATTTCCAACTAGTTGTGTGGTTCGAGCAGCAGCATCAATCCTGCCACCATCATGCCCTAGAAAACCATCACACCGGGCTGCCATGGGCCTCCTCGCTGCCCATTCCAGCCACCTATCTTCAGCCCTCCACAGACTAGCCTCCTCTGTAGTCTATAGAGTTGCTATTGCCCCTCCTTTTGAAAAGGGTGTGCCCCTGGGGTTTTGAGAATTCTCCTGAACCCCTTTTCACTGTATTACACACTGCCCAGCCCATCAGAGGCCACCGGGCAATGTGAGTCTCCCCTTCTTTTTTATGTTTCCCCTTTTCCCTTCTTTTTTATGTTTTTGTTTTGTTTGTTTGTTTGTTTTTGAGACAGAGTCTCTTTCTGTCACCCAGGCTGGAGTGCAGTGGCGAGATCTGGGCTCACTGCAACCTCTGCCTCCCAGGTTCAAGCGATTCTCCTGCCTCAGCCTCCAAGTAGCTCGGATTACAGGCATGCACCGCCATGCCCAGCTAATTTTTGTATTTAAGTAGAGACAGGGTTTCACCATGTTAGCCAGGCTGATCTCGAACTCCTGACCTCAAGTGATCTGCCCGCCTCGGCCTCCCAAAGTGCTGGGATTACAGACATGAGCCACCATGCCCAGTCCTTTTTCCCTTCTTTTTCTTGACTGCTAATTCCAGCACTGGCCTCCCCCTGCCTAAGATCAAATCGCTGGTAAGTGGCTGAGCCAAGATGATAGAACTCAGTTTGCTGGCTCCAGATCCTGTCCAATGCAAATGGTGGAAAGAGGTTGTTGGTTGCTAATGACCTGAACAGGGGATGGGCGGCACCCTCTTATGGCCCAGAGAGCTTTCCTTGCCTTGCCCGAGCTGCAAGAGCTCAGGGTCCCAGATTCAAGATCTGGATTAGTTAGAGCTGGCAATTCTCAGGCAGTCGCTGACCTTGCAGAACTTCCTTGGGCTGGTGCCACTGCTACTTCCTTGCAGGGAGGAGGAAGATGCTTCTGGAGTGCTGGAGGAGGTTCTGCCATGACCTGGTCCCATTTTCCTCTTCTGATTACCAAGTGCCAATGAGGTCAGACAACTGATCAAAGTGAACATCTCTGCCTATTGAAATCCCCCTCTTCCTTCAGATCCAGGTCAAATGCCCCTCTCTGTGAAGGTTTCCTGATCAGCCCCGGTGGGCTGGATCTTTTAATTTTAGTTTTTAAATTTAAAAAAATTTTAATTTTTATTTATTTTATATTTGTGTAGGTTTTTGGGGGAACAGGTGGTGTTTGATTACATTACTAAGTTCTTTAGTGGTGATTTCTGAGATTTTGGTGCACCCATCAATCTTTTTCTTATTTTTTAGAGACCGGGTATAGCTCTGTCGTCTAGGCTGGAGTGCAGTGGTGCAGTCACTCCTCACTGTAACCTTGAACTCCTGGGCTTAAGTCATCCTCCCTCCTCAGTTTTCCAAGTAGCTGGAACTACAGGTGCATGTCACCAAGCTCAGCTAATTTTTAAAGTTCTTTTATAGAGATGGGGACTCACTGTATTGCCTAGGCTGGTCTCGAACTCCAGAGATTAAGTGGTCTGCCTGCCTCAGCCTCCAAAAGTGCTGGGATTACAAGTGTGAGCCACCATGACCAGCCATGGATCTCTTTATTCTTGCATTGCTGGAGTCCCAGGCAGAGTGAGATATTAATCCTTTCCTCAGAGTTGGCAGCCAGGACTTGGATTCCTTGATATTGCCCACCCCATGGCAAATTATAGGTGCACAGTAATGTTTTATAAAAACAGAAAGGGCTCCTGCTTTTATGTCTCCTCTCCACAGATATAAGTGCTTTATGGTGAGGGGATTCATGTGGCTAGAACAGGGGGTATGTGGCAGGGTAGCTGGAGGTGTGGCAGGGTGGCTGGAGGCTAGACAGGGCTCAGTGTTGGGGCTTGCTGAAGGAGGCCCTGTATTCTCCAGGCTGCAAGGAGGCTTGATCCTGTGGGCAGTGGGAGCCATCGGAGGTGCTCTGTCAACCTGTGCTGAGAAGTGGGCTCTGGCAGTGGTAAGGTGAGAAGCCCAGGGCTAAAGGTAAAGTCTGGATGAGGACAACCAGGGGTGCTTGATGAGTCTGAATTAGGCATGGGGAGGCCAGTGCTGGAATTAGCAGTCAAGAAAAAGAAGGGAAAAAGGACTGGGCATGGTGGCTCATGTCTGTAATCCCAGCACTTTGGGAGGC